GCAAGTCTGGCGACGCGATGAATCAACTCATCCATTGAGAGATCAAAGCTAAGCTCGCGAGGAAAGTTAACGTCCATTGATTAACTTGATCAACGAACACGTACCGACTACTGATCCTCTCTAATGATCAATTGTTCGCGACTTATTAAAGTGGAATACAATCAAACACGATAGAAAAATTGTTTAAGAATATTCCTCACATCTTATATCTTAATATTAGATCTCAAATTATAAACATTTGTATTCAAGTTCCTATTTATTTATTTTAACACCTAAGAAATTTCACTGATTGCTCGATTTCCATCGATGAAGTTCGTATCAAAATTATCCGACTATCCTTTGCCGAGGAGTTCATTAAATAAAAAAATTTATTAATACAGTTACGAGAAGTTTTAACGAGCTAAGACACACGAGCGCTTCGTTAAGCGCGAAAAGAAGTCCGATAGTTTCGATTTATCTAAAGATGAATTCGCAGAAAACTCGGTAATTTTAATAAAACTCTCGCATCAAAGAGCGTTAAGATCAACGAATCGTTTATTCAATCTTCAGGAATCTTCAGTCTGAACTAATCAATCGTTTGTACGTCTACTGTAGAGTGGTAATAATATTTCAAACGAAACGTGGAACACAATAAACCACTTTAAAAGTAGAAACAGAACTCTTTATCAATCAATCTTATTTCACTTACACGACGTGAATTCTGATCAAAAAATTCTTTCTTTTACATTTTTAATTTACTTTTATGTTAGTCCTCTTCAATATTAAATATTCAATTTTTAATTCTTTAAATTTTATGTACGTATCTATAACCATCCTCGTTTCCCAAAGAGCCATAATTCACTCTGTATACCAGGTACTATCTAACTCATAAATCCTGTCTTTTTTTTTTTTTTTTTTTTCAAACATCCTGTACATCGATCGAAGAAAGGAAACAAAAATGTTTCAATGTCTGGCTTTATCAGAATCGAGGCATCTCGGCGTGCTTAACGCGAGACTAAAAGAGGTTGATTCAACCTCGGTTTCCAATCTAAAATCCCTCGATGCGCGCCTATTCGTTCGGTTTTCCATACACGTCCGATCGACGATTAATAATCTTCCCCTTTTAATCGTTCCTTTGCTCTTTCGTGTACACGTGTATACGTGCAACAACCACCACCAAGTAATCCCCCTCCTCGATTGGCGACCAAAACGATCAGATAGACCCTCTCTATCACTCGGTCAGAGAATCAGTCAGTTTCATCAAGCGATTTCGCAATTATCGAAGAAATAAGGGGACAATTGCATTTGGCTGCGACAAATCGTCGAACGGAACCGTCGACAGGACAGTGCATCGTTCACGGAAACGAGAGAGGAAACAAACAAGCCCGGAAACGTAATATGAAGTTCCAGTTAGGTGGACCCCGTTAATCTAACGACCTGATGATGATGGTTGAAATCGTTTTACTCATCAAGATTGGCTTCGGTAACGGGGAGTGGTTAGCTACCCGAAAATTTTACTGACTCTTGATTGCTTTCCTCCACGTTCCGCCTTTGCAACACCATCCTCTGTACAATCTCAGCCCCCTTAAATCGACGGTCGAGAGAACACGAGGATAAAATTCTTTCTGAAATGTCTGACGTTTCGTCAATTTAAGGGTGGTCAATGATACTCTTAATTATTATTGTTTTAGCCCTTCTTGGAATTTTCAAATTTCCAAATTCCCAAATTTTTAAATCACCTAATTTTCTAATTTCCTAATTTCCTAGTTTCTAATCCCCCAATTTCCAGTTTTTCTAATCTCCAGTTTTCCAAGTTTCTAATTTCCCAATTTCTAGTTTTCCTCATTTCCTAATTTCCTAATTTTCCAGATTTCCAAATCTTTAACAACTTAATATAAAATCGTACGGATCAGAGGCGACCCATATTAAAAGGGTTAAAATTGCGAGGCTTGTCAAAAGTTCGAAAGAAAGTTACATGTACTTGGTAAAAAGTGATCAACCTTTCGGACCAGTTGACTAACGCGTCGAAATCGATGGTTAATGGACAAAGTTGACACCATTACAATATCCTGAAACTGCTTTGGGAAACTACCGACATTCGTTTCACTTAGGTTGCTTTGCTCGCTTCTCAACCTTCCACCCCCTTTCACCCCCTGTTGCGGTATTATCCAATACCTACGTCAGCTTTTGGTGGTCCTAATGTTTAATGGGATAAAAATAAAGTGAATGGAGTTTCAAACAGGATTTTACAGATTTTCATAGTTGTTATTTTAGAGAATATTGGATAATAGTGAAAGTTTTTAATAGCTGTGTGACGTTGAACATGAGCGAAGACAGTGGAAAATTGGCACGTGAGCAGAATTTAATTAAAATCTTGGGGTTTAAGCGGGAAATAGTTGCATCTCCTCAGGTGATTATTAGAATAATATATAGTACCTCTTCATAGAATTGGGACATTTCGAAATTTTGAAATTATTATACCAATAATAATACTAATAAATTTTTAAAATCTCAAGTTCAAAAATTTCAAGCTTCAAGTTTGCTATTTTATTATTTTAATGCTTGCAATCTCATTATAATATTACTGTAATATTTATGAGGTAATGAATTAGAAGCTTTTAATTTCTGGTAGCTTGAAATCTGAAGACTTGAAATTTTTAAAAGCACAATATTTTGCAATATTCTTTTACATATAGATTTTTTTCAATGGTGTCAAGTTTCAGATTCTTTTTTACAAGAGATGGGTTTCAATATTGGCTCGCAAGTATCGGTTGATTTAATTTTTTGACGATACACGTCAGAAGGAGATTGGCTTTTGTTTCACGGAAGCAACACAAGCAGAAACATATATTTGGGAAAAATTGACAGATTCAGATATTGACCGCCATCTGCGTTTTTCCCCGAATATTTCGTTACCATTTTTGTCCATTCTTTTCTACTCGATGTCTACACCGTGAAATATTGTCCGATGGTGTCTGGACAGATTTATGTATTTGTGATCTCGTGTGAAATAAAGAAAACTGGCTAATGAAGATTGATCACGAAATACCTATACAGCGTTTGACATTTGGATAACATTGATAGATTCCTTTATTAAATTACAGATAATTAATTGAAGCTTTCAATTTTGACGCGTGACAAAGTGACAAAATTGAATTTTTCGTAGTGAAATGCAATAAATTTTATACAAAATTGCTCGATTCATTTTTCAACACTTCATCATTAATTATTAAATCAGGTACGGATTAAGAACTTTAAATTATGGATATCAGAAATAACGAGATATTGAAAATAATATCTAATGAAACCAACACTTTCAGCTCTCACATAAGCGAAATGTTTTACTAGAAAATTACTAAATATTAAATGCACCGGGGTTAAATCATCAAAATTTCACGACTTGAGAGCGAAGAGATGGTACCTTCTCATCTCATTCAATTCCTGACCCTCAAGAGATGAATGTAAATAAGGGCATTAAAACAATAATATTCTGCTAGCATTAATGCGGATTATGTTCATGAAGACTAATCATCATGCTGAAAATTATACCTGTGACTATCGTTCTTCCTCTCGACTAGATTTCAACGATGAATAAACATGATGAAAATTATTCACACCTCATACTAATTATTTTAAGGGTACTCTCTCATTAAATCACTCCAAAAACACATCATACCTATGATCGCATTTAAACAAAACTAAATTCTGAATAATGTACTCAAATATCATATCATTAAATGAAATATACACAAATAGCTTTAAAAATATTAAAAAATGTGAGTGAAAACGAATTTTAACTCTGAATTAACAAGTTAACACCAAGAAAGCAACATCCATTTAACAATAATTGATCAAACAAATCAGATCAACGAAAACGTTTGATTGTGCTTATTTTAACCCTTTTAATTAAAAGTGCAATCATTCCATCGTAATCCGATACTCGATTTCCTATCTGTCGCATTGCGAGTCCTCTTCACTCGCTACCCTTAAACTTCGATTCGCCATAAAAACTTTTCAACCTGTCCTCGTTTCGCCTTCCTTCGTTACTCGACCCTGTAACTTCACGACGAAACTTTCAATCGCTTCGGACTGAATTTTCACGCGATATGAAACCCTTTATTAACGAGGTGCAAGCTTCATGGATATTCCGGATACTTAACTAAAATTAATATTCCTATGTACCGAGCAGGAAATTAAAAACCGTGCATAGGAATCACTGTGGGGCTGACTAAGAGTAATGTCTAATGAATGAATTTTCTAGTGGCTAATGGTATTCTAATGAATGTGCGCGTATCTAGTTATTTTCACCAGAAGTTAATCTTTAACTTTGTATACCGTAAGTAGTATTTTGCGATACTTTTATGTCATGAAATTGCAATTTAACCATTTCAACCTCTACTATATTTCAAATCGAAATCTCTCAAAAATGAAAATTTCAATTTTCTTAAAAATAATTCACCTTTTTCTTATTACATCAGGATTATTTGAACACCTTGAATATATATTAATAGCTTAACGATGTGCGAGATATCAGGAGCGTAACCAATTTTCGTAAACGTTACCTTTGATACAGTAATGAAGCATTTACTGTCCACCGTTGCCTATCTCGGATCATAAACTCTGTTTTATACTCATAAACTCTTCTCTGTCGTTCTCTCTTTCCCCCCTCGATCATCGTTCACGAATCAGAGGACGTTCTTTCGCTTTGTATGTCCGCTTCACGTTTGAATTTTAAGTGGTACTTTTCACTCCCTCGCGCAACTTTTCCGCTCGTTGATTACGCTCAAGTGGTCCCAGCGTAAAATCGCGACGATATTCTCCTATTTTCGGTCTCTCGTTTTGTATGATCTCAAAATTAACCTTAACCCTTCCCCCCCCCCCCCTTTTTTTTTCAAAGTCCAAATTATCAGATGACGGAACAGTTTCAGAATTATTTACCGTAGACACGGTGACGCGAGTTGATGAATTCTAAATATAATTATGGAAATTATTGTAGATGGTATTTTGAAGAGTAAACTCACCCCTGGATCAGCAGACTCCAACATGCACGGCTGAGACGCTCGCAGACTCCCAATTGGGGTCTTAAAGGGAATCTTTAATGCCGTGAACGGACTTGGTCCTGCAATCAGAAAGCCATGGAATTAGTTTAATCCCAAACATTAAAGTTTCAGATATTAAATTATGGGAAACGTTGGTATTTGAATAATTTAAATTAGACAATTCGATGGACAACACGTTTGTCATTTACCTTGTTATAATTCATTGTTTTATAAAATTGCGAGAGAATTAAATTAGAAATAATTAGAGTATTTCTATTTCCACAAACTTCAAGCTCAACTGTTTTCCTGCTAATGTAACATTATCGATTAACTGTTAACGCGTTTCAACTATACAACGAGCAATAAGCTCCAACCGGACATTTTTCCCAACGGTGAAACGTTGAAAAACACAGGAGCCGGTCTAAATTCGCGTTTCACTTGCTCCAAGTACACAAGGCGAGTACATCCTATTAGCACCATAGCTTTTCCCTCCCGTGTTGGAAGCTGCTTAAACTTAATAGCGTCGAGTAAGCTTAATGTAAGGCTGTTTTTATAGATTTAACCCGACGAAAATAAGTTCTATGGTTAGGATAAAAAATCGAACACCATTGTAGTGTTCTTTGATGTAATGAAAAAATACTTGACAAATTTTTTCACACATTTGCTATTAATATTCTCCATTAACAAACATGAAATTTTCAATCGTTTATTTAAGAATAAATTAATTAATTAAGAATAAATTATTTCGTATTAAAAATAATAAACAAACCCTTACGTAGCCATTTTTATTGGACCTTAAGCTTTAAATTGATATATAATAGGTGCCATTTTGCAATATTTTTATGTCATCAAATCACTTTGGACTTTCTATGTTTCCAAAATCGGTCATGGTTTGCTATAACTGGTCATCAGCCATTTTGTATTGAAAATATTTCTGACACGTTTATATAAAAATTTTCTTTACAGTTTAAGCTTTAAATTGATATACAATAGGTACAAATCTAACATACTTTTATGTCATGAAATTGTATCAGACTTTCAATATTCCTAAATTCCCCATCTGTTATGCACTAAGCTAACACTTACACCTGATTAACGATATCACAAATACGCTGCAATATCACAAATGATCATATTTCACGGTCTCGTTAATCGCTAAGCAATTCACTGTAAAATGAACGTGTGTAAATTTGTCGCATGCACGATTCGTTGTTCATAGATGAACGGAACGCTCGCACACCAGTAAATCTCCGTATCGCCGTATTTCTGTTCCCGTATCACGCGAGAGTTATTAAAGTCCGTACATCGTGTCGCATTTAACCAACACCCCATAAAACTGTAAACACATTGCCGACATTGGTTTTATCGTGTTCAACTCGTTTCGATGCATACGTTCCACCTAAAACATCCCTATTGTTCCAATGCGTTTTTGATTCATCAATTTTTTCTAACGCTTTGTTATGTTCACAATAACTGAAAAACCTAAAAAGAAGCAGATAGGTTCATACTGAAGATCTGTCCATAGATTATAAATACTTTAATGCAAAAAAAAAAATGAGAGAACCTATTTCACTTTGAGATTAATCTTCCCACCCTTAGAAATGGTAAATTAGAATTTATTTTGTTCCCTTTTTAAATACCTTTGAATTTTAAAAATTGCAAGATTTAGAATTGATGCCAGTTTAATTTTGGAGAGTAAAGAATTTTGATTTTGCGAGCTATTTTGGTGTAAATTCCGTACCCTTTTCATTAACCTCTTTATTATACATTCTAATAAACTATATTCATTTCCGATACCACAAATATTTGTTCTTCTTTTTTTTTTTTTTTTTTAATTTTCTTATGGTTTGGAGTCTTGAAAATACCTAACCAGGAAATTTCCCATGCTTTCCCGAGGGGGTGTAGATATTAAAATCAATACGGTATGCGTTTGACTGGTACACCGTATGGCCGCGGTTATTACCGCACTCGGTGGCCAGCGGATCATGCATACAGTAACTACACCGGCAGCTATCTCTCTATTTCGCCTCTGCCCCCTAGCAGCCTCTCAGAATGCTCCTTACCGATGCACACGGGAATTGTAGCTGCAACTGCACCGCGCTGCGCCGGACAAGCAACCGCTACGGTATGCCCGAGCCTGCCAAACGGTTCAGTTAACGGATACTTCGAGTATAGGGCGTGAAACTGTTACGAAGCTGCGGCAGAGAAATGGAGGTAGAATAGAGGTCGTTCGACAAGGTAGAGCCTTGCCAGTGCTGTATAGATAATTTCGTGGCAAGTTAATCAGACCCGGCCAGAGGCAGCAGGTATTCGCTGGAGAGGATCTCTCTTTCTCTCTCTATGAGAGAGTTACGAGAGGCTGAAGAAGTGTCGTAGAAGATAAAAAATAAAACGAGTACGTAAACCGCGACACATCGTACGGTGAGTACAAGACGAGACGATGTCACGTAACAGCTGCTGCTAATAGCCTGTTTAATCGGCAGCTTGAAACCTCTCGTTCTCACGCTCGGACTAATTATAGTGTCACGTCTTAAATTCGAGCGTGTCGCGCGTCTTTGAACTGACACGTTCCGCGGATACAAATAGTACTGGCATTAGTAATTGCTTGTCTTTGTTGAGGATTTTCAAACGACCAGTGGCGTGTTTCAAATATCGTTTTGAAACATCATTGCTTTTTCAACGACTGACTGCTTGTCGAAGTATTAATTATCTCGGATATTTTTAATGACACGAGAGAATCGGAGAACGTGAAGGGTCCTCGGTAATTTCGAACAATAATTGTGAACAGATATATTCAAATTCTATTTGAAACTTTATTCCTGAAAGATACGCAGAGTTAATTAATTTCATCTTCTTAATTATCTCTGTTATTTTTAAGAATATTTTATTTACAATTTTTTTTTTTTCATATAGATTTATTTTTAATTGGTGTAAAAACAAATAGATTCTATGGATGATGAACTCTGTTCTAGATTACAAGTAAATCTGAAAAGATGATTATTTTCTACGTAATTTAATCATAGCTGATACTCGAAAAGATTCGTCAAAAACAACACCCGTGCTATTTGAACAACAATACAGGCTCGATCGAATAAAATCTCGGATTTTTCCATGAAATACTCTTCGAACATCGAGAGCGACGATGCAAGTGGCGCTCGAAAAATGTCAAGTTTGGACATTCCAATGGTCGCGTCACCGATACAAAATAAAACACAAACAATTCGACCAACACTCTCTTCTTTCCATCGAATTTTCCAATGCGAATAATCGTTCGAGTTTTAAGAGAATCCGAATAAATTCCGATTCTATTAAATTGTTGCATATCAAATGATGGAAAGTTCAACATGATTCGATGACAGAAGATTATTACAAATTGCCACTTCTGGTACAACAATTCAAAACTTAAAAATTAACAAAATACCTGTATAAAGATTCTACAAAATAGTTCTAATAGAAATTGTAACTTATTTTTGCTTTAATAAAGAATCACCAATTTTGTATAAAAAATATTCGAGAAACCTTTAGTTAAATGGAAAAAGAATCGATAGGAGGAAAAGTGTTATTTCAGTGAAAATATCATTATATTCCCGTACTTTATAGTTTCAACCGTGGAGATACACAAACTATCCTCGATTCCGATGCGAAGTTTCATCGCGTGTACAAAGTGTTATCTTTATTACAATCGTAACAACGGGAGAAATCGTACCGCAGCGATGATTTCGTAGCAGGAATTTCGCTGCTATTTTATTTATCTTGGTCGGTCAATGAAATATTCAAATATTTCGCCGGGACCCGATGGTGTACATAGGTACAATAGAGAAACGAAGCAACACCGCCGCTTATGATTTATGACTTTACGTAGAGAACGATCGACTGACTGCTGGAGCTTTCGTGCTTTCGGCTTTAAAAGATTTATAAGAACGCGCCAAATGGTTCGCAGCGTCATTTTCTCCTGTACATGTGTTCGAACGTTGTATATCTGGAAAAAGGACACCGATGAGATGCAATGTGTTCCTGGTGATTGAAAGCTGAAACCGTTGTTCTAAAAATTTCATCCTATCCTCCATCAATATTCTTCCCTTCTATTTCTTTCTCATTCCTACAGTGTTTACAATATTTTCCTAAAAATTCTACAATAATTATTATTCAAAATAAAATTTTTTTAAATCAAATACTGATAAATTTACCTGAATAATAATTTTTATTTTATATTATGTTAATTTATCAAAAATGCAGTGGTCTATGATGAACAAAAATCAATAAAAAAATTCTCTCATAATACATTTCTTTTTAAAATATTTTCTGTTCAATATCTTGCTCCAGATTACGTTGCATTGTTTATCACCAGTAAATCTTTCTATATTTTGCATTCAGATGGAAAATCACAATGTTCGAGCCGTATCATAATTTTTTCCTTCGCAAGTTACGAATCGATAATTAAAGAAGAATAAGCGGCGAAGGAAAGATCCGCGTTTTCGCGAGATAAGTTGTAAGAAGAGAAAGCGAGATGGTAGTATCTTACTTGGAGAACACGTAAAAGTGTTTCTATACGTGGGCGATAAAATTCTCGAGATTACAAGCTGCACCGACACTTCCTTTCTACATCCCCGAGGCGTTCCCTTATCAGCATACTGCGAAGCGGCACAATAAGACGGAAATCTGGTGGAAAGAACGGATACCGTGCTACGAGACCGAGCCTCTATCGTGGAAATAAAAGTAGCAAGTAACGGCTTGTAGACGGAGTTGAGGATTCGAGGCAGGGATACGTATACTTGTAATATGCAACACGCAAACACCTCGCGCTACGATCGTACAGTCGAGCGACATTGCGTTTCCGCTCGACGTGAGACATCTTCGGATAGCCAGTCTGTACGGAACAATGCTTGGAGAACTGTTGGACGACTGGTTACATTGATGTAACTAAGGAGGGTGGGCGTATCTTTCCCAAAAAAAATTTATGCTAATCCCTCACAATTCTAAAATTTCCAAATTTTTAAATTTCTAAATTTCTGAATTTTTAAATATCTAGGTTCCTAGATTTCTAAATTTCTAGGGGACGTGCTCCACCCCGAAAATATTC